CTGATCCTTTTTTTTTTTTTTTTTTCTGTACGTTTGATCTTAGGCGAAAGAACTTCTTCTCGACCATTACAAACGTATTAGGTGGTCCGAAATATGACGGGAAGTACCTCAAGTCATTGATCCAAGGATTATTAGGCAATCTCACTCTGAACAGGACTTTAACAAATGTGGTGATCCCAGCTTTTGATATCAAGCGCCTTCAACCAATTATTTTCAATTCGAAAGAAGTAATTAAATAATTACCTTTGTCATATCTATATTTGGATATTTTAACGAACAAATTGTTAATATTAATTTGATCAAATCTTGTACAGGCAAAAGCAGATGTTTCCAAGAATGCTCAGCTATCAGATGTCTGTCTAGGCACGTCTGCAGCTCCAACTTATTTCCCTCCACACTATTTTGAAACTACCGATGCACAAGGAAATATAAAAACTCATGATCTTGTTGATGGAGGGGTTGCTGCAAATAATCCAGTGAGTAGTGGCTTATTGAACCAATACTAGTGATTTTGTTGGATAAGTCTTGAAAATCTGATTTAGCTAATTTGAATTATGTTGATGGATATGTGAATTACAGACTCTAGTAGCCATAACCCACATTTCCAGAGAAATTTTGTTGGGGAGTTTTGAACTGGTGGACATGGAACCAATGAACACAAGCAGGATGCTGGTTCTGTCGTTAGGCTCCGGTATAGCCAAACTGGAAGAGAAGTACAACGTAAAGAACGCCACCGATTGGGGCTTGCTTGGTTGGATGTACAATGATGGCGTGACACCGCTGTTGGACATCTTTGGTGATGCAAGCTCTGATATGGTCGATATTCATGTTTCAACCCTTTTCCAATCCCTTCGCAATGAAAAAAATTATCTTCGAATTCAGGTACCCAATCATATCCTCGGAATACAGAACTAAACATGACAATACTGTTCAACATTTTTTTTCCCCTGCCAAACATGTAATCTAGCGTTCCACGTGGTGATTACAATTATATTTTGGTGTTGAATGGACAGGAGGATACATTGTCTGGGGATGCTTCATCTCTTGATATTGCTACCACAAAGAATATGCAAACGCTTATTCAAATTGGAGATAGTTTGTTGAAGAAGTCGGTTTCAAGAGTGAATTTAGAAACGGGCAGGCCAGTGCCAGTTCAAGGAGAGGGTACCAATGAAGAAGCTCTTACTCGGTTTGCAAAGATACTTTCAGATGAAAGAAAGCTACGACAACTCAACTAGAAGATTGACACTAGGAATTTACATTATTTCATCTTAAAGATTATTTTTGCCCTATATTTACTTTTTACTGAATAGATAAATGTATATGTATAATTAAATAAACACATCGGGCCCATATTGGGTATGGGTGGATTGCAGAATAATGTTGTCATTTCATTCTTCAAGTAAAAGTTGGGGAAATGTCGTGTAACCAAATTTTCCTTCATTGGATTGTAATTCAATTCAAGGTTTCCAACTATTCATATTTAATTAATTTTTTTTTCCCAATTACAATAGGAAGAATTCGAAGAAAATGGAATAATAACTATGACTTGACCGCCCAAGGAAGTGGACAATAAGCCATGTTTGGTAGTATAAAATTAGAACGTCATATAAGATTTTCACTTGTTTTTGTTCCCTTCTTTCTTAGTGTTTGTTTGGATAGTTTAAAAAGTTGCTAAAAATTGAGGTCAAAGTCAATACTTAATCTTAATCACATATTTCATAGGATTCACAAAATTTTATCAACTTTTCAACTGTACATATAGGCTCCATTTAAGACACAATAATGTAAGAATGAGAATAAAAAAATATAGTCATTACGACCCTAAATAGAAAGTCAAGTATGGTGGTTTGATGTGATGGATAAATGTTATATTTTTCGTTTTAATGGGCAATTAATGGAAAACAAATGGGGGGCTTAATCAACTTTTATCCAAATTTGCTAAAATTTTTATTTAAAACTTTGTTTAATTACTAACATTGGCTGCAGAACAATCTTGCTGAAAATTCGAATTATCTGATTAATACTTCATAGCAAACATGTGTTGAGTTTACTAATGGACTGCGACGATGTGAAGAATAGCGGCAATGCCTGGGAAAACAAGAATGAAGAACTAGAAAAAGCCGAAGGAATATCTAGAACTGGTTTGAAGATGATGATATACAATCCGGATTAGATTCCCAACAATTAATCGATTATCAATCGAAAAATCACGAGTTATTAAGGCTAATGCTGTTATTTCAGAGCATCAAGCTCAACTAGGAACTACAGATATGTGCATCAAGGCTACAAAGGAGGAAGAACTGAAGTTCAAAACAATTCTCAATGACGAAAATGAAGATCTGAAGAGAACACAGAAAGAAACCAAAAAACTCCAAAGAAATCGATGAAAAAGATCGAAACTCAAACGAATCTTAAGGCTAAGAGGCAAAGTCTTTTGACACTGCAACTCACTCATGAAGCAATACAGTTGGAGTCAGAAGCTTTTGCAAAAGCGCGCCTACATCAGTAATAAATCAGAGACTGCAGGTAATATTGTGGTTCAGTTGACTCGAGACGAATATCACATGTTTAAAAGAAGTTCACAAGCAGATGGGCGTATATCAGTATCCATGGAGCAAAATCTTTTGGCGGAGGACAGCCAGGACTCTGCTTCTGGAAGGTTGCAGAAACTATGTTCCCGCTGCGGATTGAGCAAAAGAACGGAAGAAAATAGAAGTCCTAATTAATGTATACAGAAGAGCAATATGCAAGTGTCAAGGAAGTAAATCCAAGGCACCAACAAAAATTGTATCGATGAACATTGTAATTGAAGATCATACTCAGAAAATCATAACACCCTTGTTTTAATCTTGGAAAAGGAGGAGGTACATGTACATAAACAGAACAGGAAAATACACAATCTGATATTACAAACTTGAAATCAATACTAAAGCCTTCTCTAGAAGTAATAATTAGTTCATTACAATTCATTTAGATAGGCAAGTTTCTAATTTACCATTCTACAGTTTTTCCTTCTCTCTCCATCTTGGCTTGTAAGAACACCAATGTTTCCCATCTTGACCATAGAGATACCAAAATCTCTGGAGAAAAGGAAAGGGAATTTGCTATAGTTCATGACAAATGAAGCAGTGATATTGTCGCCCATGAGGGCTTGGTCCGACTGTAGGAGACCGGAGTTGTTTACAAGATTCTTGAAATAGTTGTTGTCGAACTTGTTTGTCGTAGTAGGATCCAAGGAAACCAAATTCGTATCAGAATTGTTTTGATTGGGACAGACAGTACGTAGATTGCTGAGCAACGATGCATCAAGTGTTGGATCAGGATTACCAGCCCCGTCAAAGTCGAAAAGCCTCTGTTTAAATGTGAAACATTGAGCAAAGCCAATAGTATGTGCACCTACATGGATCAACAAGGTCTACTTAGAGAAGAATTTTTCTTTTTGTACATTTTAGTCTCAGCTGGACTTGATTAAATAAAGCTTTGTCCTGTGTTTATCTAGGCTTTGTTTGTCTTCCTTTCTTCCACATTTTACCACGTTATTTTTTCTACAGTACTCATTTTCAACCACACATTCTTCATTAAAATAATATTACACGTAAATAAAAAACTTTTCTTTCCTTTTTAACCACACATTTCAACATCATCACTATTTCATAATACATTACACACAAATAATGGGGCACAAACAAGCAAGAGTCAAGTCTGTGTATATGAATTTGTACCTGAAAGCACGACTACATCTTTCAAATCGAGACCCATGGATACAAATTTTGCTGTGATATTTTCCAAGGGCTCGAAAGGTGATGGGAGCTCGTTAGCAGCAGTCTCATTTGCTGTTAGGCCATCTCGACGACCCAATGGCACTGGCCAATAAGGACCCCCAGTCTAGTTTTGGTCATGGACAAGGTAGGCAACATTAGAACATGTTATGGTAATGAAAATTTGAATTTTTTAACGCACAAAATAATGATGATTATATTTTTTACCAGATAAACAGATTCCCTGGCAGCAAGAGTCAATATATCAGCACAAGAGACTATGGATGGGCAAGCTTTCTCAACATTTGCCTTTATCGCGTCAATAACCTCAAATCCTCTAGCTGAATTCTTATTAGGGGTCGCATTCTTCTCTCCTGTAAATGTGCTGGTATCATCAAGCAAGACAGATCCATCACAGCCCTATATAACCAGAAGAACAGAAATTTATTAAATGAAAATTATTCAAGAATAATCATGGAATTATAAAACATGAAAACAATTTTTTTGAATCGTGCATGTGGAAGTATACAAAGGAATGTGATTACATTAGCAAAACAATCATGGAAATGTAGGCGTAGAATAGAGGCAGCCATTCTAGTTTCATTAGCTATAGCAGACCAAACACCATATCTGACAATCTTAAGCAAGTTGGGACAAGTATTGTCATAAAATTTGTAATCAAGTTGGCCACAACATAATGGAACCGAAAACAAGGAACAAAACAAAAGCATAGACAAAAATTTCGAGTAACTATGACTCATGTCTTAAGAGAAAATTAGAGAATCAAAAGTTCTACAGATAGTAGCATGTATGAGCAGTAAAAGTAGCAATTTATAAGAGAACAATTAAGAGTGGCAGAGCCACTAAACAAGTTGTCCATTTCGGCCGAGTTTGGTTAAAATCCCCAAAGAAACCAGCCTAGCCACCTCTAGAAAATATAGAATACTCCCAGTGGCTTAATGAGGTATGCATAGAGTAGAGCAGGACAGCGGTAGTGCTGAAGCCTCAATTTGACTTAAATATGTTTACTTGGAGAAGATGCCAAGAAAAAAGTGTAGTTTTATACCGAAAGTAAGTTTTTAAAATTGTAAATATTAGTTGCTCGATATAGAGTTATAATATGCATTGTGATTTGAAACATGTGCATGTATTGAAGAAGTTTACAGCATTCAGATGATGGTGCCTAACTCATTGATAAGGACACCAAAACCATTGATAAGGAGATGATGGTGCCCAACTCAGATCAAAAGATTAACCTCCATGATGCTTTCTTTGTTCCTTAGACAAACTTGTAAAACTTCATCCAGTAAAGCTTTTAGATGTTATGGTTCAACACAATAACTAAACATTTCCCATCCCAAGTCTCAGCAAGTTTATGTTAGAAAACAATATAAATCTCATAACTGCATATTTTTGAAATTTTCACATATAAGGTCTTTGATCAGAAAATGAATCCGAAAGGAGTGTGTATAAAGACACGTATAATAAAATAAAAAAAGTATCGTTTCTCTAACACCTAGATGAACTAGTTCAATAAATTTAAGAATGTACACGAGACATGGTAACAAATTCAAGAAATATATAGATACAAGAAAATAGTAACCGTTTCTCCATCCAAGGAAACAAGATTTCACATACAAACTCTGTTTATTTCTATGTGTATGTACGACAAAAAGAGAAACATACGAGGAATTCTTAACAACACAAACCCTTATATGTTCGTGTTGTTACATGCTTCAAACAAATCATTACCCTAATACCATTCTAACTTGATTGTACAAAGTGTAATAAACTGTAAAAGTGTCAAAAAAACAGAAGAAAGCTAGAGGAAAAAGATAAAGAACAAATCAACAGGAATATCATCATACGGTGCAAAATGAGTCAGCAATATGCAAGTTGGAATTTAACAGGAGACAATGTACTTAGTAAGTGGAGTAATATTAATATTCGAGTTATTGAGAAATAGATAAAAATGGAGACTTCTGGTTTGACTTTCTCTGACTTCAGACAAAATTGAAGAATCAATGTGGGAATAAATAAAAGTGGGGGTGGCGTGGCGTGGCGTGGCGTGGCGTGGGGTAAATGGTCTTAAAAATAAATAAATAAATAAAAGAACAAAAATGAAAAAGAAAGTCAAGTTGCGTGCCCGACCTAACTGACTCATCCAAAGATTTGATCAATGCTTTTTTTTTTTTTAATGGAAATATGATAAGAAATAATTTCATTTTTTAAGTCAAATTTGGGCTAAATAATTAGTTTAGTCTGAAAATTGATATAAACTATTCATATTTTTTAAGTTACTATTGGACACGTTAGAAATATAAAATTATCTTCAGAAATTTTCTAAATATTTTATCATATTTTCAATATTGATTTGAAAACCAGTATATTTTACAAATATGTCATTTCCTTTCTAGGATTACTAATTAGCTCGAACTAGATTGAAAGTTCCAATAAATTGGAGTATTGACATTGTGACTCTGTTGTCATTAATCTAAGCGGCTAAGCCCAAAGTTAACAATTAGTTTTAACTATATATTTCATGGATTTCAAAACTTTATATCAATTTTTCAGTCGCACATTTATTCAACTTCTATCAAAATCTACTAAAAACGTATTTTTTAGCAAAACCAAACAAGGACTAAATTATGAGTTTTTATAGAGTTATTAAGTATATGAATCAAGTCTACTATAGATGAATATACATCTTAACAATGAAAATAAAGAACATTCATAATTCAATCAAAACACAAAATTTAATATAACTGTGAAGCATTCACATTAAGAGTACAACTAAATTATATTTTCAATAACCTTCGAATCAGTTGTATGAATCCTTTTTCGCTACTGTATCTAATAACTACTGAAAAAGTCTAATGAAATCAATCTTTTGTATGTCAAGATTATCGATAAGCTCTACTTCCTTGAATAATATACAAAGCCTACATCTACAATTCACAGTCCAGGGAGACTTTCCAAGAGTTTCCCTTTCTTAACAACATTAACAGGGAAAAAGTTACCGTATCAAACTCCCTTGGCTGCTAGCTACCTAGGAAAGAATACAAAGGGAGATTCTCACACAATCATTAGTTTAGTTCTCACAACAGACAAGATTTTCACTTCTTTTTTTCTTCCTTTTAATCATGTCGAGGCTACCCCAGCTTGCCCTTAAGTTCTTCCTGTAAGGGCACACTAAAGGAGGAGAGATCTCAAGGGGAAAACCCGCCAAAAAAGGTATGTGGCAGATCCATTACTCTTCGACGATTCCTACTCTCACCGTGTTTGAGTACTACAAACATTTGCTGGAATGCTGGGACCACAGGGGCAATGGATTGCCCTAGCACAATGGTGATAAACTAGGAAGAGCTTCAAGAGTTGAACGAGGAGAAAGAAGCGGAACCATGGCTAAATTGGATACTTCACGTTGACTTCGTTGGCTAGTCTCACTGGAGAAAAAGAATCCCACGTAAAGCAGAAGGCAAAGGGATGCAAAGTCAAATGCCAATTATAGAATTTATTCAGGTGTATGTAATGATCCATATGCAAGGCAGGGAAGGGAAGGTCAGAGATAATGCAGAATGTAACTCCTACTTGTAGCTTGCAGTTTGCCCTTTGTGGTCCGTGTATCTTTGGACACAGGCACCTGATCGAATTGATAACTTGGTTGCTGAAATTTTTTATTACCCTGTTGGAATCATGCATACTATTACTGCATGAATCAACAGTATTGACAGAGTATAGGAAAATGCAGCATTCAAAATTTAACTTACCGTTGATGTTATTTCATTAATTAACTGGTTCACAAATGGATGTTCGAGCAACATGCTAGCTGTTGGCCTGTCTGCGGGATTTCTTCTAAAGCATCGGCGCAAGAAATCCTTGCCATCTGCCGACATTGTTTCAGGTATTGGTGGATTCTCCTTTAAAACCTTGAACAATGCTGCAGGCTGAATGGATTTATATAGATTAACAGTATGAAGGTTATCAAATAAAAAATTCACCCAGCTTGACTAACAATAATGAAAGAGAGTTATAAGGCATTATACGAGAGAGAGAGAGAGAGAGAGAAGGGGGGGGGGGGGGGGACAAAAATAAAAAAAACAGTAAAT